TAATGGATGGACTGGAAAAGGTTGCAGTATACCTGACTGCCCAGGAAATCCTGACTGCAGTGCAAGAGGTCTGATTCTGGATTTTTTTCGGTTTTTTTAAACTATCATTTTAAAAGCTCCAGAGGCTAACTAAAGCTTTTTTGTCTTCAGCCACTTTTTTAATTCTTCCATGCATTTTTCTAAAGTTCTTTAATCTCACTACTTTTAGTTATTATCCTATTTATTTAGACTTTTGCCGTTGCTTGAAAAGCAGTCCATGTAGACTTCTGATACTCTAGATTTTTAACTGCACTCAACAAATTGAAATTGTTGCCAAAGACCGGTTTAATTTGTATAAAAAACAGAGAAGAGATGAAACTTGATTATTCCCATGAAAAATTTTTTTTATTTCGATTATTTTCAGGTTTATGCAACATTAATTATAACCCACCAAAATGCACGGACTGTATAAAAGGCTGGATGGGTGACTCCTGTGAAATACTCTGTACAAATGGCACTCAGAGTCCAATGGATAGCGGCATTTGCAAGTGTGATCCCTGCTTCTCTGGTCGTAGCTGCAATAGCTTATGTTCTGGGCATGGCTCTTGTGGCAAGAGCGGAGCCTGTGTTTGTAACTTCGCAGGTGGCTGGCGTGGTGAACTTTGTGAAATTCCTGGCTGCCCAGGAATCGGTGCTGATTGTTCCGGACATGGTTTATGCAATAGTGAGCTAGCAATTTGTAGATGTTATCCAGGTTGGACAAGCATCGGTTGTCATATTCCAGACTGTCCTGGAAATCCAGATTGTTTTGGACGAGGCCATTGTAATTCTACTGGTCGTAGTACTCCGGAATGTACAGATTGTGTAGCTGGCTGGATGGGACCAGCTTGTAACGATCGATGTATGTATGGAGAAAGAATTTTTCATCCAATTGAAAAGAAGTGGCTTTGCAGATGTGATTCCTGTCACACGGGTAAGGCGTATTTGGTTTTGTATATTTATGGGAAAATCTTGATTATGCAATTTGCTGTCCAGATAAAGAATGCAATCTTTAAAATATCTTATTTAATCGATTTGATCTATTAACTCGGCGTGTGAATACAGAAATCTACGAGAAATGACATAGAGCCTTTAAAAAGGCAAAATGTTTATTTTCTTTTTTGTTATTATAAATACCAAGATTTATCACGATTTAATTATTTTGTGTTACTAGAATTCCAGTTTATGTATCTTTGCAATATCTTCTTGATTTTTATGGAAAGGAAATATTCTTCTCTATTATATTGTACACTTTCATTTTGATTTTTTTTAAATACGATTCAAGTGTAAGGCATTTCTTTTCAGGAATCGTTGCCTGCCCTAGCTTATTCAGTGTCATCTTTTGTTCCTTTATTTCAATGCTCTTCCAATCGTACCTAATTTTAATGAAAACGTCCATTTTAATCTCTGGCTCATTTAGTGATAATATATTTTAAAAACTGGAGCAATTGTAGGAGCAATGCAAAATGACGATTAGAATGAAACATTTTGTGAAATCGAATTTAAATATAAATTAAATGAAAAACTAATATTTCACTCATCGGGTTAAATTGCCAACATACAGTAGCTATTGTTTTGTGTCTCTATTTCCAACGAGCTGTAAAGCTACCGACTGTCAATCTGCTTCCTGGGAGTAACTTGACCGTAGTCTAGATGTAATGATCCTTTGCCCCTATAAAGTTGTCATTTTGAATGGATGGAAGGGCCTTTTTGGTACTGTAAACAATACGCGGGTGCACTGCAAAGAAACATTTTGTAATGGCCTGTTTGATCTGACTTTCAAATCGCAAGGAAATGCTGCTGATCTATGGAAGTTTTAGATAAATCGGGCACTTTTGAGGTCCAAATTTTACTTTGTGATTTTCTCCTTAATGTAAACTGTAATGCCATCCTTTGGCTAGCCGTTCTCCAGAAAAATCTTTTTCAGTTTGTCAAGTTCAGAGTCCGGTTTTGACTTGGAACAAATCATCAGTGCCCTGTGAGTTAACGTTTTGATAAGATTGATTTTGCCGTGTTTTGTTGCAAAACGAACTTCATCGATTGTAAATTTCGGAAAATGTGGGTTTACGGTATACACTGGTAAGAAATCCGGTGCCAGACTTTTCAACCAAAACATCTAGAAATGACAAGGAGTAATTTTCTTCCTTTTCAAATGTAAACTGTAGGGCTGTGTGAAGGCGTTTTAGGAAAGTATCACACTCGGCCTCTGTTTTGAAAATCATATCATCCACATATCGAAAATAGACACCTGGCTTTTTGTCGCAGTCGAACAAACGCTTTTCATGAAAGCCAACAAAAGTATTGGCCAAGGCAGGTCCCAGAGGGCAACCCATAGCGACACCTTTTGTTGGTACATTTTATTGTTCAAGCTGAATTCAACTGAACGTGTCGCGGTTTCCATCAGTTGAATGAATACTTCCTCCAGCGATGGTGGGCTATCAAGCTCGATTCGCTACAAAGCATCGGCTCATATTTTGATGGTCTCACTCAGACCCCGTTTACACTGTGATGGATAAATTTTATCCGCATCAGAATTAGTTCAGATAGGCGTTGCGTTTACACTAGACCAACGCTATCCGCACGAATTTGAGAGCGGCTATCCGAACAAAATTAGTTCACCTAGAAAAAGTGGATAGAATTAGTTCAGATAGCTATGTGGTACAATAACAGTGTAAACGCTTTTATCCGGATAAATTTTATCCACATCGTATCTTGCTCAAAAGCGATTGGCTATTTCATTCAATTTAATTTTCACTGTCTCCAAATCAAGACTTTTGGCCATCTTGGCTGCCTTGTTGTCGATAAATACTCGTGTTAAAAGTGCAGTATCTTGCCAGTCCATGTAAAATTGGCATCCTTGTCAGCTTTCCCTTCCTTCGTTACTAGTTCAGTGTCATTTTTTTTGTTTAATTTGTATTGAAAATATCTTTGGATTTGGTCTAAAAGAGAAGCAGATGATGTTGAAGAGAGAATGAAGTCTTTTTACGTTGGCGGGAATTTTGTTATTATTTGTTGCCAGAGAAGACTTCATTTTGGGCGTTCTGTGCATGATTTAGGTCATGTGACTGCAGTTATCCGGCACAGTGTAAACGGGAGGGCAAAGTGGACAAAGTTTGTGCGGCACAGTGTAAACACAAATCAATCCGAACAAGTTTTATGCAGATAAATTTTATCCGGCACAGTGTAAACGGGCTCTCAGAGGAACATTTGTGAAAAGACTGCTAATGTTGAAAGAACAAATGAAAGATGTTTCGCTTTTGATGATGTTATCCAGGTTGGTACGAGTACAGGTTTTGCATATACTCGGCAAATGAAAGGAGCCTCTGATGCAACGTTTTGAATATTTTTTAAGAACAGGATCCAAAACTTCAGAAAGCCACTTAGCCAGTTCGTGTTGTGCTGAGCCAATCATAGACAAGATGGGTCTATGGGTCTAAGTGGGAAATTCGGCTTATGTATATTAGAGATGTCACACATTTGTTTGCGTTGTGAACCTGTGGGTCTTATCCTACCATAAACTTCGTTGGTCAACAATTTTGCATTGACCGTCTCCAAAAGGCTTTTTTGAAGTTTCCGCTCTAGCTTGGCCGTTTTATCCTGTGTTTCGACGTCACCCATTTTTGGAATATTTCCTTGTCAAGGGAAATATTCTCCATTTTTTGGAATATTCCCCAAATATTCTCCATGTAGTCCCTTTTGTTCGAAGTTAACACTCCTTACCCTTTATTGGGTGTTGTGATAAAGATGTCATTGTTAGACCGTATTGATTTTAGAGCTTGAAAATGATATCTGTGGTCGATGGGACAGCCACGGTAAGCGTAAGCCATACGCTTAGTCGAGCTCTTAATTTGTTAAATTCCTTTCTGATTGGCCTTTTTCGATCCACAACTGGGTATGAAAATTTCCTATACTAGTGTTTTATCTATGTTCTGAAGTTTTAAACTCTGAAGAGTGTCGGACGACAAGCACTAGTATAACTCAAAATGCTTGCTTTTGTTTAAAGCCATCTTTGAATTTATGCCACAAAAAGATAATAATTATTACTATAAAACATTTTTTGTGAATAAATTTACTTAGTGTAACACATGGTTTCTAATTGAAATGTTTTTCCAGGCAAGTCTTTTCTTTGCCAGTTCACAAGCTTCTTTCCGTTCGATTTTGTAAATGTCCCGTAGGTTTGATTTTATTTTTGAGAACCAAGTTAGTTTGAGCTGTCTCTTGTTCTTGTATATTTTTCATCCGCCCATGCTTTTTATGTCTGGGACGAGTCGAGTATATTTGAAAGCAGTACGTTACAAAGAAAACAGGAATCCCCACAAACGATATTGGAAATTCACTGACTTCACAACAGTCTGAACATCGATCAGAAAATCTAACCGAATTCGATCCTAAACTAAACTAAACTAAACTAAACTAAACTAAACTAAACTAAACTAAACTAAACTAAACTAAACTAAACTAAACTAAACTAAACTAAACAAAACTAAACTAAACTAAACTAAACTAAACTAAACTAAACTAAACTAAACTAAACTAAACTAAACTAAACTAAACTAAACTAAACTAAACAAAACTAAACTAAACTAAACTAAACTAAACTAAACTAAACTAAACTAAACTAAACTAAACTAAACTAAACTAAACTAAACTAAACTAAACAAAACTAAACTAAACTAAACTAAACTAAACTAAACTAAACTAAACTAAACTAAACTAAACTAAACTAAACTAAACTAAACTAAACTAAACAAAACTAAACTAAACTAAACTAAACTAAACTAAACTAAACTAAACTAAACTAAACTAAACTAAACTAAACTAAACTAAACTAAACTAAACAAAACTAAACTAAACTAAACTAAACTAAACTAAACTAAACTAAACTAAACTAAACTAAACTAAACTAAACTAAACTAAACTAAACTAAACTTTGTAATTAGGCTATTCTATTTTGCTAGTTTATGTTTTGCACAGATTTTGGCTCACCTGTAACGATCAATCGCAATCAGAACCAAAGACCAGGACGACACAATGAGAGTGACTGGTGAGATGGACGGCAATATCTTGCACATTGCTGCACCGAGCTGCCATTTCAGATTGGACACCAAGTCGTGGATTACGAGCACTGGCGCAAAAACAGACGCCAGCAAATCGGCAAATGCAAGCGAGAGAATGAACGTATCTCCTCCAGTCAGCTCCCGTTTCTTTCCTAAAAGAGAATCGGTTCTTGATATCGCTATACAATTTTTCAGCGTGTTGTACATCGTTAAATGAGATCCGCAGCAATTAAGCGTAACTTCGAATATGAAATGTAATTAGATTTACCAAAGCCATTTAATAAACTAAAAAATTTTGTCCCCAAAAAGAACAGCAACCTCGGTCTTGCAGATCTAAAAGTACTACTAAAACTAGCGATTCTGCTATAGGGCAGCATTTACTGGAAAACTCAGATTGTGCATAAACTATAATGGCGACATGTTTTGTACTATTGGTGAAACCCGATCGTCGTTCCACCTAGCAGTTTTGGAATCTATCTACATAAGCATTAAAAAACCGCTATTGTGTAGACAAAAGGAGTTCGTTTTCACCTTAGGACTCCTTTGGTAACATTCTCTATAGGTAAGCGGCACTGATTGGGCAAACTCAACAGCCATGTGCTCACGTTTCTGATTGGCCTATTTCGACCCACAACTGGGTATATATATTTCCTAACGTAGAGCTTTCCATCTATGTTCTGACTTTTAAACTTTCAAGAGTGTCCGACGAAAAGCTTTAGTTTACTCAAATGTTTGCTTTTTCAAAGCCTTTTAAAGTCAAAAATATCTAATTAGCTGTCAGGTCTCTTGATACTTTAAATTATATCAAAATTTGGCGGTAAATCTGAATTATTGTATTGATATGGCGAATAATGCTAAAAATTTGACTAAAGATGGAAGCACGAGGCATCTCACGCACCTATGATGTAAAGAGCAAGAGCATTTCCAAGGAATCCAAGAGCAAAAATCAGGCAATAAACAGCAATCAAAGAGACTCTTGCTTCTGTTGACAAGAAAGGGGAAAATCCCATTTGCCTTGAAGCGCATGTCTTGTTGAAAGTTGACTCGTTGAAGCCAGACTGGCCGTTTTGATCACAAGTACTGTTTGAGGTAGTCGACATCCTTGGAACAGAAGCTTATTCTGAAAGCTGTTGAAGAAAAATGATTTCTTAGAGCTTCATTCTTTTCAGGCAAGCTTCTATTCAAAATATAAAAAAGTAACATTGTTGATACTGGAAATACAGTTAAAACATTGTAACTATAGTAACTTAAGGTGTAATTTAGATGCATGTATATATTTCTGTAGCTACTTGTGTACATGTCTACTTTAACTACATAGACAATAGTGGAAATTTGTCATGATCAATTCCATTAAACTACAATTATAAATCTATCTAATACCTAAATAATTTGCAAATGGCTAGCCTTGGTTACAGAATAAGACCATAACAATCGTATAATAAACAGGCAGGTTAATATTCAAAAAAATGTAATGTTTTATACATCAAAATGGTTGTAGTTCTGAGTTTGTCCATGTTCTTCCACAAAAGTAAAGTAAGTGATACGAATAGCTCGGTTGAAAGATTTGGAGATAAATTTTTCAACATAAAAATGGCTACAGCTTGTATTGATCTTGCTCCCTTATTGCCCCTCGACCCGTTTACTGATCCCAGCTCTGTTGGTCAGCGATGGACATCATGGCTCCGACGCTTCGAGACTTATCTCTTAGCCATTCTTGATATTACCGATGCAAAACGTAAACGTGTTTTGCTTTTGTATCGAGTTGGGCAACAAACTCAAGAAATTTTCGACACTATACCAGAGGATGGTGCTGCTGATGATTATCAAACTGCCGTCGGAAAGTTGGACACGTATTTTCTTCCGAAGAAAAACGTGGATTATGAAATATTTAAGTTTCGTCAATATGCAATTCATTTATGTAAACGTGCCGCAAATTGTGAATTATCAAATGTCTAATAATAAACGAAATCAAGGCTGCAATAATCCAAAGTTGCACATCTAAACGACTAAGGAATACGCCCTCCGCAAAGGCGCTTTAAAATTAGCCAATTTACTTTCCAAAGCAAGAGCATTTGAAGAGAATGAGCATCAATCACAAGGAATAGAAGAGTCATCACATGTTTATCATGTTTCCTTTTGGATTTGGTGTCGATATTGTCGATATATAGCTAGTGTAGTAGCCAAGGCCTCTGAAACGACGATCTTGCGCAAATTGTCATGAAAGCATGAAAATCTGCCCAACTACAAAGTTTGTTATGCTGAATAAGATGGGGTCGGGACCCAATCTGAAAAATGCCCCTAAATGCTACTTTTAGAATGCTTAATTGTTGCCAGACTCCTAAATTGATTATCTCTATAACTTTGTAGAAAATGACGTCAATAACAAGAAAATTGTCACAGATACTAATCATAACACGTAAATGTGATTTAGATTCACACCCATCGTTAGAATGCCCCCAAATGCTATTTTTAGGCCATGTACTCGTTCCCAGACCTCTAACACGCTTATCTCTACAACTCCGATAAAAAAAATCAATAGCAAGCAACTTGATTTAGATACTAACGATAACAATGCCAAACAGACTTTTATTCGCACCCGTCATGGCAGTGGTCCTGAAATATCAAAACTGGCGAAGGATTTAACTTAACTTTTCACTTTTCCTGCTTTGCATACTGCCAGCAATGTGCAAATTTAGGTAACGAACCATTATATCAACGCATGCAGGGTCGTATTAACCATTGAGCAGACTAAGCATGTGCTTAGGGCACCACAATCAAAGGGGGCATCACATTGTTGAGAAATAGATAGAAAGGGGAAGTTATATAAAATTGGCAAAGCTGATGTAAATTGATAAAAATATTATGTTTCTTGGTCAGGTAATGTTCCCTAGTAAATGTAAAAGAAATCGACAAAACTATTACAGATTGATGTAAATTTTCTGCTTCTTGATCAGGTTTCCAAAATAAGGACTGCTACCGCATTGCACTGTGGCATCTGTGGGTCAATATTTCAGATTCACAATTTTCTTGTGAACTCTGTGTCTAATATGTAATATGTACATATTTTTACTTTTTTTATTTAGAGAAACTTCATGTATTTACTCAGTGACGGGTCTAGGGGGTGTTATAGGAGTTCCAGCACACCTGGTCTGAGCTTTGGTCTTTTGTTGAGTAACTAATTAGTGAATGGTTTGGTCAGCATGATCTACCTGAGCTTTCCCAGCTCATGCTGCTCACGTTTGGTGTTCTGTTATTGACTTCTTTGGTAATTGAAGA